TAGAACAATATTTGCAAGATATGAAGTGCACAATAGATATTAGTAAAGCAAATTTTGAAAACAGTTTGTTTTCTTGGTAATGTCAAGGTCGCCTTAGGTTTTTTAAATAGGAACATACATTTTTTTTTAGTTATAGCTTTAGAGGACGCCGAGACAAATTCAAAACACATATTGCATAATATTTTTATTAACATATTACTCGATTTACAGAAGTGGAAATGTGAAGTAAAAGACCGGATTATTACGTGATGGAAAGCGGCATACATTTTGAACTTATAATTAAATAAAGTGTATTTTTCTTACATTCTAGTCGCGTGTTTACATTTAGTTATCTCTTCGGAATCAAGTAATGATTGCACTACCAAAGTCAAAAGCTAAGTACTTCACATTTCCACTTCTGTAAATCGAGTAATATGTTAATAAAAATATCATGTAATATGTGTTTTAAATTCGTATCGATGTTCTCTAAAGGTATAAATAAAAAAAAATGTATGTTCCTATTCAAAAAACTTAAGATGACCTTGACTTTGCCAGAAGAACAAACTGTTTTCAAATATTGCTTTACTAATATCTATTGTGCATTTCATACCCTGCAAGTATTGTTCTAAACTTTTTTTCTAAAGGTGGCTGCAAGTGGGAGAAAAATCGTGAGTAGCGTTACTCGTAACACCCTGTATGGCAAATGGAATTGGCCATAATGGCTATGAAGGGTGTTAGGTTAGGTCGAAAGTTCGCAAAGGTTGAGGGAAGACGTCATTTGGAACATATTTAGCTATACCTTTATGCAACGTATCATGGTTTTTATGATATTGACAGCTCCCTTAATTTTACTTATTACCAGAAATTTCCTAAGTAATCCAAAAATTTGAAACTTCGAGCATGAATAATATACAATATTCTATTTCTCACATCTTCGACACTAAAGATGATCAGCTTGTATTTTATTGGAACTGTACCTTGATCCCAGCTTTATGCAACGTATCATGATTTTTAGGACATTGACTACTTCCTTAATTTTACTTATTACCAGAAATTTCCTAAGTAATCCAAAAATTCGAAACTTCTAACACGAGTAATATACAGTATCCTGTTTCTCACATCTTCTACACTAAAGATGATCAGCTTGTATTTTATTGGAACTGTACCTTGATCCCAGCTTTATACAACGTATCATGATTTTTAGGACATTGACTACTTCCTTAATTTTACTTATTACCACAAATTTCCTAAATAATCTAAAAATTCGAAACTTCTAACATGAATAATAAGTATCCTATTTCTCACATCTTCTACACTAAAGATGTTCATCTTGTACTTATTGCTACTGTACCTTGATCCCAACTCAGTTACCCCAAAGCCATACCCAAATCCCAACCTAATTACACCAAACGACCTCGTTGATCTTGATAATCGTTCTCCATCGAAATCGAAATAAATGAACCGATCACCCTAACAATCACAGCAAGAACAATGTTTTCGCCCCCGTAACAATCTTCGACGTTGCATTCAATCAACGTCTCGTAATGATTACGAATTACTCGAATACTGGTAGCAGATCGAGTCATGAATTTGCACGCGTACGGGGGCCACGTGTACAAGGCAAAGCGATCAGCTGCACGGGCTCATTAGGAATAAATCAATTAACGGACCGGCTGATTGCGGACCCGCCGATTCGACGGCTATCCAATTAGCAGTCTCCTCTTGATTATCAAACAATGCCTGATCTTTCGTTAAAGATATATCCTTCTGGTTGACTTGTACGTAAGATCGCTATCATTCTGACATTATCCTTCTGTCGTCTTTAATCGATGATTGGTTCAGGTTTTAATAGTCGTTAGAAATTCATTTTTGAGAACGTAGTGAGGCTTCTTTATTGCAGTGACAGTAGTAATATATATAGGATGTCCGCGATAATTTTTGCCATCTTTTTCTTGATAAATTTGGAACGTTAACAAAAATTTGAGAATCTTTCATATATCTCAGTACAGTACATAGTATCTTAACCCCTTGTGCTATTTTGACGAGTCTGACTCGTGACACATTCGTACTTCGTGATCAAATAAGAACATGTTAATTCGAGTAAAATTAGAGTTCAAGTCTAATTTTCATAGTCATATAATTTTATACATAATTTTCGTAGTCAACGATCAGATTGACATAATATTTAAAATTTCTTTGTCTGTTTTAATATTGCAGGTGTGATTAGTTCTGTCTGACGCACCTGACAAGTAAATCATAGAGCAAGAGGTTAAAGTCTCAAAATTTCAAAGTCAAAAATTCTTGAGTTTCAAAATTCAAATATTGCAGTCTGAAAATTCCTTAATTTCAAAATTCCAAACTTAGAAAATTTTAATATCGGAAAATTCATAAATTTTTAGCAGCTGAAGTTTCAAAGTTCAAAAATACCTATATCTCAAAGTTCGAAAGTTCAAAAATTCCCAAGTTTCAAAGTTCAAAAAATCCCAAGTTTCCTTAAAAAATTGCAAACATTCTTTAAAATCCAAAATTTCCAATATTCAAATACCTCTAATTTCAAAATTTCAGAGTCACAAAAGTTGAAGATCGAAAAATTTCAAAATTTCAAGGCTCCAAAGTTTCAAAGCACAAAAATTTCTAAATTTCAAAGTCCCAAAGTTTCAAAGCTCAAAAACTTCTAAGCATCAAACTCCCAAAATTCCAAATTTCCTAATCTCAAAAATTCCAAAATTTCAAGATCCCAAAGTCTCAAGCCCTCAAAATTGAAAAAAACCTAAATTCCAAAAATTCCAAATTTGCAGAGCTTAAAAATACCTAAGCTTCAAATTCCAAAAATTCCAAATTTGCGGAGCTTAAAAATTCCTAAGCTTCAAATTCCAAAAATTCCAAATTTGCAGAGCTTAAAAATACCTAAGCTTCAAATTCCAAAAATTCCAAATTTGCAGAGCTTAAAAATACCTAAGCTTCAAATTCCAAAAATTCCAAATTTGCAGAGCTTAAAAATACCTAAGCTTCAAATTCCAAAAATTCCCAAAATCCCAAATTTCCAAAGTTCAGAAATTCCTAAATTTCAAAATCCCAAACTACCAAACCTCCCAAATTGAACAACTCCTAAATGTCAAATTCCTAAACTCCTAACTCGTAAAATCACAAAATCCCAAACCTTCAAAATTACAAAATTCAAAACTCCCTAAAATCCAAAATTCCAAAGTCCCATAACTGAAATTTAAAAATTCTTTTTCCCAGAATCGAATTTCTGCAAAACCGACAATGGCATCAAAAAACAATTTGCAGTATCGTAATCTTGAAAGCATGAGATCTTACAAGAATCAATTATTCGACATTGCAAGACAGAAGGAGTAAAAATTTGTTGGACATTACAATGAAGATACTTTAGATAACAGTGATGGATGACTCACGTTGTATAATCATATAGAACATAGGTTCTTAAACTGTGATCCGCGAAACAATTTTGAAATTAACTTTACACCCCCAACTTTTCGCTTTTATTCAAATAACTCATTCAGTAAAAAACTACATGGTCAGGACTTTATGTATTTGTTGTTACTTAACTAGTTATTGACATAACTAATAATTAGTAGAAATTTAATTATGGAATGAGGTCCTCAAAAATGTTGTTCAAAGGGGGTTCTCGAATTACATGAGTTTAAAAACCCCTGATGCAGAATAGTGTAAAATGAAAGATAGAATGAACCGTTTGTGCAGAATAACGAGTTTACTAACCCCTTCGCATGTAGGTTAAAAGGAATCGATGCAACTGCACGAGGCGTGCGAGTTTCGCATATGCATCGGTCGCAGTTGCACTATAGTTTATGCAACTATCGTACTTAGTACGGTTAACCAGAAGTCGCAGACCGAGTGACGTTAATTCTAGTGGTGCATCGTGCTTTCGTATAATTATTATTTCAAGGTGAAACAATTCCCAAACGTTTAGAGAAATTTGTCCAATAAAAGCATAAGCATTGATCGTGTGTGTTACTGTTTACCTACTGTTGAGGCTCGAAATCGATTGTGCACAGAATATCATATTACGGATTTACGTATAGCTACATGTGAATCGTTCAAGTGCAAATGTCATGAGAAAGATTAACTACTTGTGTTAAACTTGAAAATTAATTTTGTATATAGGAATTAGTGAAAGACTGAAATTTTACGTTTATCGTATAAATTTATTATACACAGTTTGTTTAATTACATACGCTTAAATTATACTTTTTAATTGATTATATATTTGTGGTATATTATATTTTCGTATGTGCACTATGTAGAGTATCATACTAGTTATTTAATTGTATAATAACATAATTTTAATTATTATTAAAATTATAAAATTTAATTTTAATAACACAATAATTAATTATATTTTGCAAGTTATATTTTTATTTTACTAGTTTATAATATACGAATTTTTGAGGCTTTCACATTTCACAAAATCTCAATCTTGAAATTTCATATCCAAATGTATTTCCAAAATTGCAATTAAAGAAACTTTTTAAATCTGGCATTAAAATTAATAAAATTTTAATTTTGAAAATGAAAGTTTTCACTTAATCCTATTCACTTAAATAGTTAACAAAACTATTCACTTAAAACTATTCACTTAAATAGTTAACAAAACGATTCACTTAAAACTATTCACTTAAATAGTTAACAAAACTGTTCACTTAAAACTATTCACTTAAATAGTTAACAAAACTATTTACTTAAAACTATTCACTTAAATAGTTAACAAAACTATTCACTTAAAACTATTCACTTAAATAGTTAACAAAACGATTCACTTAAAACAATTCACTTAAATATTTAACAATAATTTCTACACCTAATAACTACACACCATCACTCGTTAATCCTTAAACACCAGAGAGACTCTTAAAAGCTATCATAGTGATTCCAAAGAACGTCCACACGCCCTGAAGAATCGGCTTCCCGAAGAAACTAAGTGTCTCGCTCGAGAGAAGGAAATGATAAATCTTAAAGAAAAACATATGGGACTGTCGCAGGCTCGCTTCCAGCAGAAGCAGCTACAAGAGAAGGAGCAGAAGTTGTTGCAGCTTTACGACCAACAACAACAACGAGCTTATCAGGTGGTGCAACGTGGTAGCGCCGGTTCCAATGGGTCTAATCATGGTTCCTCGATCAACCAGCATACCGTCACAAAAACCACGACCACCAGCCACACAACCTCGACCTCGCACGGTGGAAAGGTGAGTGATTTCTCGCGTGCAAACTCGTGTTTCACGCTACGCTTTCTTGAATGGAATAATCACAGGTATTTAGCCGTTTCTTCGAACAGCACTGGTTTTTACGAATGGTCTGATTTGTTCACTGCCAAACGAGAATTATTCCGTGTCCGATATCTGAGATCTGGGACACGGGTTTCCCAGACGTTCATAGAACGCGACCCACTTTCGATAATGGTCATTTTCCCTTTCTACGAATTACGGGATTATTCGTCACAAAGGAGGGTATTACAGATTTCTTATCGATAGATTGCTTAATCAATTCGATGTCTATATACGGTGGCACAATTATTATTTTTTCGCCCCCCAGATATCAGTATCGGTTAATAATTGAAGTCATTGCTAGCTGTACCTTCTGTCAAATGTTAAGCCTCACTGATCAACTAATTTAATCATATTAAATAGTCCAGAAATAAATAAAATTAATTGAGAATAGTATTCGAAATTAACTTGACGACGTCTCATTTGAATCAACCTGTAGTCGTACACACGTGATGTATTAAGCCTCACTGATCAACTAATTTAACCATATTAAATAGTCCAGAAATAAATAAGATCAATTGAGAATAGTGTTCGAAATTAACTTGATGACGTCTTATTTGAATCAACCTGTAGTCGTACACACTATAAAAATTGAAAAGACCTTCGATTGTATAAAGAATCTCGTTTAATCCCAACACCTGTTCGATGTGGCATGAAGGTGAGGCAGATGTTCGACGAGAGACGACAGACAACCGTGAAGGGCATCGACAGAAGCTACCCACTGGAGCCGCTGGAGAACAAACCGCGGAAGCAAACGAACGGAAACGTCGCGCAGAAGAACGGAAATTTGACGGTGAACCGACAATCCGTGACTGTAAAGCGAGTGGCTCGAGCTGACGTGAACAGCAATTTGAATGGTGGCAAACCGATAGTCTCGTATCACGAAGAGATCACTCGAGAATCGTACGGCCCTGCCGGACGCCAACAATCTGACGACGATGAGTTCGGAAACGAGAATCATATTAATCAATATGCGAATGGGAATCAGGTAATTTGTTCTTGTAAAATATTTTGTGATTCATTGTTAAATAATTTGGAGTATTTTTGTGATTATACTTGAGAAATATATTTTGGGATTGTACTTTAAGGAAACTTAGGAGGAATTGTTAAGATGTTTTATGATATGGAAGAGTTTTGTTGTCATGAAATTTCAAACTAAATATTTCGAATTTTTAGGCTTACAAATCATATGCGAAATGCATATGTAAATGCATATTTCTAAATTTTTTAATTTCCAAATTTGCAACCTTGCATATTTCTGAACCTTAGAATTTTAATTTCCAAATACTCGAATTTCTGAATTCCTGAATCGTCAAATTCTCAAATTATCAAGGTACCTCTCAAGTACCCTAATATCTAAGATTTCAAATTTTCAACTTTCCAATTTCTCAAATTCCCAAATCTCCAAACTTGCAAATTGTCAAGGTACTTCTCAAGTATTCAAATATCTAAGATTTCAAATTTTCAACTTCCCAGTATCTCAAATTCCCAAATCTCTAAACTTCCAAATTTCCAAGGTACCTCTCAAGTATTCAAATATCTAAGATTTCAAATTTTTAACTTCACAGTTTCTAAAATTCCCAAATCTCTAAACTTCCAAATTGTCAAGGTACTTCTCAAGTATTCAAATATCTAAGATTTCAAAATTTCAACTTCCCGATTTCTTAAATTCTCAAATCTCCAAATTTCCAAATTTCCAAGGTATCTCTCAAGTACCTAAGCATCTAATATTTTAAATTTTCAACTTCCCAATTTCTCAAATTCTCAAATCTCCTTTCGAAGCTTCCAAGCTTCCAAACTTCTATCTTCCAAACTCATATCCTTACATCTCCACATCCCCAAATATCAGTGTCCCCAAATTCCTAAATTCCAAATTTTCCAAATTCTCAAATTTCTGAATTCCCAAATCCCCAAATTCCCAAGTCCCCAAATCCACATATCCCTACATCTCCAGATCCCCATATTCCTACATCCCCAAATATCAATGACCTCAAATTCCTAGAGTCCAAAATCGCCAAATTCTCAAATTCTCAAATTTCTCAAATCCCCAAATCCCCAAGTCCCCAAGTCCCATATCCCTAGATCTCCAGATCAATGTTTCCATGATTATCAGATAATCATCGTTTCACTCAATATCTGCACAATTATCAGGCACACATCGAGGAAGCGTTGGACGAAGACACGATCGAGAGAAACCGCATGATGGCGAAGCTTCACCTAATGGAGTACGACGACACGCTGAAACATCGCGTAAAAAATGACCTTGAGAGCGAAGAATTCCCTTCGGAGTATATGGTGGACGTCCCCGATAAGCTTCCAAAACGAAGTGTTACCAAAAAATTGTCTCAAGCTGAGGCTAGATTGGAACGCTTTAAAAACGCCAACGCAAAACGAAGCAACAGCATTACGAAGAATCCAGGCACCGTTCTGAAGAAACGATCGGATCCGATACTCCCGGCAAAATCTACTTCCAGGTATGTAAGCATTCATATACGTTCATATAGAAAGAGAATTCGGAGAAAATCGCCGGAAATACAATAAAGTATCGAGTAGATCGCAAGCTTTCTGACTGGGAGAGTAATTGTATCTTTTATCGAGATATGTGATGTTTGATGAAATATGGATTTATCGAGTGATTCTTCTTGAAATTATTTTTGTAAGAGTTATTATATTTATAATATATTAATAACTGCTTAGTGTAAACATATTATTATGTTTATTGTATAATATTTATTCTTTGATAACGACGGAATATAAGAATCGTAACTTAGGTCTTTGGTTGATAGTAATAGTGTTGATAAATATACCAACCCCTTCGTTTTTATTCATTTTCTCAGATAAACATGATGACCAATGTTCTTCAAATGATTCGTAGTATAAGCAAATGCCTTTAAAATGATCTTTAATAATGGAAAATGTTTTTAATAATGAAAATGTCGTTAATAACGATGTGGAATTTTTTGAGATAGAAGAACAGGAACGGCTTTATGTGAAGGGTGAAGTACAATTCATTTTTGAAGGAGAGTAACATTATTTCTGCAAGAGAAACATTAAACTGTTAATGAAACTGAACAATTCCTTTGAAACCGCAAGTTCCTTTTAAAATAAATTGTTAATTGTTTTAACAGTAAATGAAATTAATTTGCTGCAAGTATCTTAAGACACCCCAATCCGTTTTTGTTCTCTGAAAGTTTTTAACTCTGGAAAAATTATCAAAGTTTTTCTATTTTTATTAAAATTGAAAGATTAGAAGAGATATTTTCAAAGGATCACTCTATAAAACATATTTCTTAATTTCATTTATGAAAAATTGTGAAGTCCTAGTTTTAATTCGGTGATAAACGTAGATACATATGTAACCCCTAAACCCTTTGGACACCATGGTCAAATATAACAAAGAAAGTACTGCATTTACCGGTATCCTGGAGTCACATTGGGCTTTTTAAAATTGTCAAAAATATTCTGAAACATAGTAAGATCATCCTAGGACTTTGTAGATTTCGCTTACGTGCGGTTGCCCATAATCCAAAGAAATTATGTTCAACCATACAATTTTTGTAACAAGGTGTATATTGTAGATTCTAGTGAATTTTACATATTTCGTGCATATTTATTTTTTACATTTTAATTTTTCCTGTATATGTATTTTTTACATATCAATTTTTTGTACATATTTTTTCACATATTAATTTTTTGTACATACTTATTTTTCACGTATTATTTTCTGGTACATATTTTTTTTACATATCTTTTTTGTACATATTTATTTTTCACATATTATTTTCTGATGCATATTTCTTACGTACTTTCACATACATATGTCCATTTGATTTTTACGTACATGTAACATACATGTGTTCATTTTGTACTACATATAATATGTTTTCATTCTAACACCATATAAGTGTATAAATAATAAACTAATAAAGTTATATAATAAAGTTGTAAAGCAAAATTAGTTGCTATTCACCAGCCATTTTTTAAAATACATTTCAAACGATACACTCAAATCAAAATGGTGTCTAAAGGGTAATACAGCAACCACTCACACATCTACTAAACAACCGACCACCTACTATCAAGAATACAACCTGTTCCTTTAAAACAGTACACATATCTAAAATCGCAAAGTAGATACCTGAAAATAATCAAACGGTTTGACAAATGCGAATTCTCTGGCCGCTAATTGGCAATCAGTGCTAACAATCCGTCGCTGCTTTTACAACCACCTCGTCCCTGTCTCTTTCTCTCTGACCGATTAATTTCTCGTTGCATAATTTGCGATCGCTGACTAGGCTCGACTCGTTTAAACCCACGCAACCGTAGTAGCCTAACAATACATGCTCCCTCGGAGGCGATCATCCTTGAAAGAACAACTAAATGACGCGTTTCCGGCAAAGTAGAAGGCGCAGCGTGTCCGGTTTTGTCGCAACGATGAAGATGCCCGCTCTAATTTATATGTTCTGCCTAACCGCTATCGGAGAAAGGATAATCGTGGCGAAGGATATTAAACACTCCATCAACATAACAATCGCTAGCCAAGCATGAAGCCTCAAAAGCGGGGCGAAGGAAAAAGAACAGCAGAACACGACGATGAGCATAAGGAGATAAGTAAAAAAAATAGAAACGGAACGTGGCTTGTAAGCTTAAGCGAACTTCGAAACGAAAGGACGACCAGATGTCCTTAGCTTTGTATTGCTGAGAGGATCACGCAGAATCATTTCTATTGCTATGTCTGTGCTCTAACCTAGTAAAGCAAGATTAACAACGGAGTGAAAGGAGTCTGGTAGGAATAGACATTTGTATTGATAAGGATTATTGATTGATTTCGTAGCGAGCATCGAGGCAAGACGAGGACTCGCCAGATTTTTGACAGAGGATCGACTCGCAGAGGTTCACACGTTCAGAACGTAAAGTGTGTGTCCCTAGAAAATGTGGATAAGTTGAGTCCTAGCAGGAATTTGAAGGATGAGGATAATAGGGTGTACTATAAAGAGGGCGAAATGCTGATGAGCTCTGAAATTGATGAGATGAGAACGAGAGGGCGGAGCGAGAGTCCGAAAGTCTTTCGCGAAGAATCCGCTAAGTCTGCGAAGGATGCTAAATATAGGGAGAAATTATCTCCGGAGTTTTCAAAGAATATACGACGGAGTGAGAGTCCAAGTTTCGATTCGAACACTGCAGGAAAATCGACAGATCTATTATTTTTGAGAGACAGGGCGAAACGTAGTGGCAGTCCAAAATTCTTTTGTGAGGAATCTGAAAAGTCTGCTACTACTTATGCGATAGATTCGAGAACTAGGGAGAAATTTTCACCAGAGTTCTCTAAGAATATTAAGAAACGAAGTGAGAGTCCAAACATTATGGAGAAGTCACAGGAATTTTCGAAAGATATTAAAAAACGATGTGAGAGTCCAAAATATTTCTGTAAGGAATCTGAAAAGTCAGCTACTTATACGATAGATGCAAGAACTAGGGAAAAATTGTCACCAGAATTTTCGAGAGATATGAAGCAAAGAGAAAGTCCAAAAACTGTGGATAGATTAGCTTCTCTATTTTCAAAAGATATTAGAAAACGAAGTGAGAGTCCAAAATACTTTTGTGAAGAGTCTGAAAAGTCTGCTACGACTTACGCGATAGATTCGAAAACTAGAGATAAATTATCTCCAGAATTTTCGAAAGATACAAAACACGGAAAAAGTAAAAAATCTTTTGATTCAGAAGCTTCTAAAAAATCGACATATGAATTATTGAAAGACAGAATAAAACGAAGTGGGAGTCCAAAATATTTTTGTAGAGAGCCTGAGAAATCTGCTACTACTTATGCATTAGATTCAAAAACTAGGGGTAAATTATCCCCGGAAAATTCAAAAAATGTTCAACGACGTAGTGATAGTCCAGACACTACAGAAATGTTTCCCCAGCTTTCGAAAAATGTTAAAAAACGAAGTGACAGTCCAAAATTCTTTTGTGAAGAATCTGAAAAGTCTGCTACTACTTATGCAATAGATTCAAGAACTAGGGAAAAATTTTCACCAGATTTCTCCAGAAATATTAAGAAACGAAGTGAGAGTCCAAACACTATGGAAAAATCACCCCAATTTTCGAAAGACATTAAAAAACGAAGTGTGAGTCCGAAATTCTTTTGCAAGGAATCTGAGAAGTCTGCTACCACTTATGCAATAGATTCGAAAACTAGAGAAAAATTATCCCCAGATTTCTCGACAAATATTCAGCGACGAAGCGAGAGTCCAGTTATGCAAAACTTGTCTCAGATTTCGAAAAATATTGTGAAAAGAAGCGAAAGTCCAAAATATTTCTGCAAGGAATCTGAGAAATCTGCCACCACTTACGCTATAGCTTCAAAAACTAGGGAGAAATTGTCTCCGGAATTTTTAGAGGATATAAAGAAACGAAGCGAGAGTCCCAGTTCTTATTTCAAGGAGTCTGAAAAATTGGCAAGGACGATAGATTCAAAAAGTGCGAGACAATCTTCCAAATCTCAAATGAAAGATAAACGAAGTGAAAGTCCAAAATACTTTTGTAGAGAAACCGAGAAATCTGCGACTACGTACGCAATCGACACAAGAAGTCGATCAACAACTCCCGATTTCATAAAAATAGAAGTACACAGAAAAAACATGTCTCCAAGAAAGTACCCAAGAATAGAAACCGAAGTGGATAAAAAATCAACTAGTAAAATGCCCAACGTTTTCGAACGTCTGACAAGAGAACGCAGTGCGAGTCCCAAAGTGCAAACATCTACAAGAATCAAAAGCTCGAAATCTCCGGACTATAAGAAAGTTCCTCAGAAACGCAACGAGAATCCTGAAACTAAATCGAAGTCACCGTCCATGAAAAAGCTCGATGGAAGATCCAGCACGAGTCCACAATTTTTCGGCTCAGATTCTGAGAGATCCGCGACGATCATGGTGGTAACTCCAGAAACGATCCTGAAGAAGAAACCTGAATCGAAGAAACAGTATTCGAAAACTTATGAAGCTATTATTGGGCCAAAGAGAACAATGTCCGAAGAGATCGTGGACGCAAGCTCTAAACAAAGTATACGGAGCTCCGTATCGCGCTTCTTTACTGAACAATGCGAAAAAGCGTCGAGAAAGTTGGAAGCTGGAGAAGAGAACAGCGTTCAATCAGCGGTAACGGATAAGAACCGTTGGTCGCGTGATTCGTCTCCATTGTCGCTAAAAGACATGAGAGCCAGTCCACAATTTTCTGGGAAACCTATCTCGGCGACAAGTATCGATAGCGTCCGTGACTGGTCACCTAAATCGAGGAGAAACAGTATAAGTCCCGAACCAGGCAACAGAGTTAAACCAAAAAGCAGCGATTCGATGCGATCTAAGCAAGTATTTGTCAAAAAATCAAAGAGTGACAACGTTAAAGCCGCTAATAAAATGGCCGATCGAGTGGTTGGCAACGTTTTGCGATCGACGAGGTTGATTCGTGACGCCATAAACCAAAGTAACAGATCTTACGGGGACGATGTGAACAGATGTGAGAATAAATACGGAGTGGATAAAAATGCTGTAGAAACGGTTGATTCGGGTTTAAAACTTGAAATGGAGGATGGAAAGGACGAAATGCAAGTTGAAAGATCGAGGACACCATCTCGAATGTTTAAATTTCCCGCTGCGGAATCCAGTCCGAAGAGTTCCACGTCCATGGAGGTGGACGCGGAGATTCAGGAAATCACGATGTCCGATCAATACATAGAGCCCCGAGAGGTTAGGTCGAAATCGCGTGATAAGACACCGGACTGCGGAAGATCGAGCACGAAGAAGCTTTTCACGTATTCTGTGCGCAAACCTGCCAGGAAGAGATCTCTTTTCGATTCGAACGTTTTCGAGCTATCGAAGAAAGATCAAGGGAAGACAGATCGTCGGGAAACATCCGGGCGAAAGGAACGCGTTAGCGATACTCTAAAAAGCACGAGAAGTCCTTCGGCGGATAGTTTGACCTTTCGTGACTCTAAATGCGCTGCGGAGGAAAATGAGAATACGAAAAGTACGATGGAAGATTTAAGAGTTAAAGGGGAATATGATCATTTTGAAGGTACAAAACGAAATTGGAGTAGTCTTTCGAGTGATTTGACCTTTCACAGTTCTAAAAGTCCAATTGAAGAAAATGAAGCAATTAGAAAAGTCGAGAGTGGTTCAAGGTCGTCGGAAATAAAGGTTCTTGACGAATCTAGAAGACGGAAAGGTGATGGTACACAGCGAAATTGGGAAACTCCAAGTTTAACCTCTCGTGGCGATAAACCAATTAAAAAAAGTGAAGTAAATCGAAAAACTGAAATTAGAGGCTTGTCGCCGGAGAAAAAAGTTCGTGAGTATCAAATAAAGAAAGATAATTTTAAACGAGGAGAGAAAAACTGGTCAAATAGTCCTTCTCCTACGAATATGACTTTTCGTGGCTTCAGACGTTCGTCTGAGGAAATAAAAATTAAAACTGGAGTCTCGAGGTCTCCAGAAGGAATAGTTGATAAAGAACATTTATCGAGTAGCCCTTCCCCAACTAATAGTTCCTTCCGTGACTCAAAACCGGAACTAAATAAGAATATGAAAATGAAGCAAGAAATCAAGGTCGAAATTTCACAGCAAAGAGTCCCTGATAAGCGTAACGAAAGAATTGGTAATTTTGAACGTAGACAGCGAAGTTGGTCTAGTAGTCCTTCTCCAACAAGTAACTTGGTCCGTGATTCGAAAAATATTACGAAGAAAGATAAAGCCACTTTTCAATCTCGAGAACGAAAAACGAACGTTAATCGGTCGAAGAAGGTAGAGCGTAAACATTCGATTCGAAGCAAGTCCAGTGATTCCATAAAACGAAGAGTATCCGAGTCATCTGTGAATCGAAGGAACGAAATAAGAGAAAAGGCTGTCAGTTCAAAATCACCTGAAATGTCTAAAGATTCTCAAATCTTACGATCTATGGAACTCGTTCGAAGAATCATCAAAGGCGGAGTCTTGCAGCAGGAAGAAACGATTAAAACAGCAATTTCCGACGAAACCGTAGGAAATAAGGAGACAGAGGTAAAGAAAAGTGATTCTGCTAGAACGATGAAGATTGAAACGAGAAAATCAAGCTCCACGATTGTTTACCTAAACGATGAATCGTCTTCGAGTAAGAACTACGAAAGAACGGACTCTGTGGAATCCGCGCTTAGACGTTTCGATTCCATCGGCACGGAGTCCGTTCAAAGCATAACAGGGAAAAGACAAACCGTCGAGGAATCGAGGAACGATTCGAAGGCTATTTCTCTGAAAGCCCTCGATCAAATCGATGCAAATCTTCCTCAAAGTCTTATGAACGAATCTCTGAAGAGAACCTCGGTTTCTGGGAAAACGAACAAAAACGAGTTTGAGACTCGACGCCAGAGGAAGTCTGCGAAAACGAAGGACTCCATGGAGGTCGTTCGAATCGTGGGGTCAAAATCGCCCACTTGTAAGAGGAAACTGTTCCCGGACGATGAAGAGGCTGCGAGTGGCAAATCGAGACACTCGGGTTCGAAAATTAGCGAAAGAGCTTCGGAAAAATCTAATTCGAAGATTGGATCGAGATGTTTGGAAACTTTCGTAGGAGATACGTTGAGAAATGAAACTCGCGAAGTGTCAACAGGTGTATCGCCCTCTTTGTCCGTGAAACAGTTGAGGTCGATCGAGGATATTCGGAAGTCGATCGATTCGCTGGAAAGAACGTCCAAGTCAGCGATCGCGAATGAAACCATGAAACGTTCGGACGCGGCACAATCGAAACGATTGGCGTCGCGACGAACGGACGTTGGAAATAAAAAAGAGATGATTTTGCCGGGGCGATCAGAGAATTTTACCGCGAAGAAAGACGCTTTAGGCGATCAAGAACGGTCCTCTATAAAGTGTGCAATGCGTTTCTCCAGGGTAACAAAGAGTCCAAGTCCGGATTCGACGAAAACGACGGAAAGCAGCAGCCGTGCGAGAAGAAACGTCCTCACGTCGCCGTCGAAGAGTCCTGACACTGCGGCGAGGGTAAGCAAGGATTCTACAAAGCGTTTCAAAAATTGTGGTACAAATGCATATGAAAAAAATAAATTAAAACAGAATAACATTTTTATTTATACTCTGCTTTGATTTTTATAGAAATTGAATTTGAAAGTTAAAGTGAATTTGACTTATCTGTTTGTGAAATGACTTTTAAAACTCTCTGTATAAACATTATTTAACCCTTTCGATTACAGCTGTTCTGCTCTTTTATTGATTACAGAGTCATACACATTTTTACGAAATTATTAACTTATAAAATATACATTTAGCAATTTACAAAAATTATACTATTAACCATAACAATTTTTAAAGCAATGAATAAAATATTTGGACCTACGATATTTTAGGGTTTTGTCCAACACATCGTTTTAACTAATATTTTAAGCAAATTGGAATACACAAACGGACATGGTTGCTACATTTATCACATTTCTATTTCATTCGAAATCCGTGTTAAAAGATCATATGAAATAATTCACAATCCTGTCTTTCACCCGAACGTAGAAACATTCCGTAATTAGTTTAATTATTCTAATGTAATTACGGCGATGTTTCCACACGAGGAAATTCGTAGCGAACGAATGTGCTTTTATCACAGCGTCCGTCTACCGAGTTGAAAGCTCAAGAAGCAAGATCGACGAAACGACCAACGCTTATGAAAGGCACGGAGCCAATTGGAAACAGGAAGACGGCGACGAGTACGAGTACGAGTACGAGAAAATCGACGGATGTCGTCGATGGTGCTATTCTCGAGAATGGTGTGCATTTACGGGACCAAACTGCCGAAACGAAATACGATAACGACTCGTCTGCGACGAAGAAGAGCGACGCTTTTGTCATCGACTTCGACGAGCAACCGCCGAAAGAAAACGATGCTCCAGTTCCGAGGAAATCGCTGTTGAGAAAACACTCTACCGACGTGAGTAATTGTTAATCTAATGAATCAGTGTTTTATCCCTCCAAGAGTACCGATAACCTCGTTGCTACTCCTTTTTCACTCTTTAATGTTATGCTCTTAACCATGGGACAAATTATGTCAAACATTTACATCGCACACTAAGATAAATAATGTTTAAATTCTGAGAAATACTTCACAAATATTTGTATTTAAATGACGCACCAGGTGCGTCGTTGAGTCCAAGTGGTGACGCAACAGGTGCGTCATTGAGTCCCAGTGATGACGCAACAGGTGCGGCATTGAATGCAAGTGGTGACACAACAGGTGCGTCATTCAGTCCAAGTGATGACGCACCACGTGCATCATTCAGTCTAAGTGGTGACGCAACTGGTGCGTCATTGAGTTCAAGTGGTGACGCAACGGGTGCGTCATTGAGTCCAAATGGCGACGCAACAGATGCATCATTGAGTGCAAGTGATGACGCACCGTGTGTGTCGTACATATGTATGTCAGCATCTGAAAGTACAAACACGAATAAATTTGTTAGTAGTATTAAAGAATAATTTATTATAAAGTACAATGTGTTTTTTAAAAACTGTATTGAAGTTACATTAATCTTTTACAGTCGTATATTTATTGTATTAGTCACAAAATGAAATATCTTTTCTGTCATACAAACGATTCCAATCGAGCATCGTGCGCAATTTTTCAACAACGACTCGAAGTTAGGAAAGAAGTAAATGAAAGACCAATCGACGGAAATTAGCATAGTAAAATGTCTTTCGCTCTTTGATACTGATTAATCCGGCCAATTCTGGTTCCATTACATATGGATCCCTTTTCCTTCATTTTGTAATTAGTCGAGACATTTGCAAATGAAATTTACGAGTTTCATTACTGTTAAATCAAACGGTTAATTAACAGGTATTTTATATGAGCTTTTTAGGTAATTAAGTTATTGATTTTGGTTGTTACGTACAGTCGAATGTAATGTAGGTTGCTTTTTATTAAAATCACATGACTTGTCTTTGGTTATGGAGAAATGTATGAAAGTGTATGTAAGACGTAGAAAAGACATAACCTAATTTTGAGAAGTTTCTTTTGAAGGACAGTCCATTTGTCAATAAAACGTGAGATTTATAAATTTATAGATTAAGGTTCTAAACTTCTAAAGTGTAAAATATTCTTTATTTGTATATCTGAAATTTTATAATTTGAAAGTTTGAAGAATAGATGTGATAATTTGAAATTTTTCGGTTCGTAAATTTTTTGATTTCCACATTTTCAAATTACCAACTTTCAAAATTTCTACGTGTCTAATTTAAAAATTATTTAATTTGGAAATTGGAAATTTTACAATTGTCAATTTCTAAGCACCTTAAATTTCTAAATCTGAAATTTTTAATTTCTGTATTTCTACATTTTTGAATTCTTGTATTTGATATTCCTAATTTTGAAACTATATTCCCAAATTTCTAAATTTCTAAATTCCTATATTTAAAACTTCGATATTTGAAACGTTTGAAAGTTTGAAAGTTTGAAAATTTGAAAATTTGAAAATTTGAGATTTCTAAATTTCCAAATTTCCAAATTTATCAAAGAATATTATATTTCTATATTTCAACATTTCCAAACCTTTCTGTACTTCAATATTTTCAAATCTATAAAATTTTCAATTTTTCTATCGTTGCCCATCAGTTTTACGCATCTTCGAGTTGCATGACACCATCTATAATAAAATGAATAGTAATAAAGCAATCATAATTATTTTTTTTATATTTGCACGGATTAGAAACAAATACCTTCCACTCAGGCTGGTCGACCCCCGTCGTCAGTTTCGTCCATTTCCAGCGGTAGTTCCATGCCGATTCAAGTTTCCGGTTCCAAAGGAAAAATGGCGTCAAAGACGAAAACCCCTTCCGCATCTTCGCACAGAGGATCAGCTAGCTCTAAAAGTGGAGGCTGTGCGGTCGTCGCGTAAGAATTTTTTTTTTTTTGAGTACTTGATGTATTCGTAATATGATTGAAAATTGTATTTAAGAAACGAATGTTACCATTGAAACCTAAGGAGAAAGGAAACTGTATTTTTTGACCAAATATGATTATTATTTTGTTTGATGTTTGAATGTTCTAACATTAATGTAAGTTCGATCAATTCATATATCGAATTTAAATGAATAATATAATTGAATTAATGGTCTCAGGTGAAATATATTATTAAACCCTGCAGCTATGTATTTTGAAAAAAAATTTCTTTTGTAAGTCGAGAAAGTATAATATTTAAATGCTTTTCTTTTATTCTTATGTCTAACAGTTTAATTAAGTTGCAACGTAACATAAAATAATTGACTATTTTGAACACTTACATTTTACTAAAATATTTGTTGAATACTTTGTTATTTGAAACAATAAATTCTGAATAATAAATGTAATATACTTGTCAGTAGAAATTCATGTTTACACAAAAGCTCTAATATTTATAATAATAATGAGAACACGATGCTCTATATTAAAACATTATTGTAAAGATTAACCTTACAAGTATTTTTCACTAAACAAGTATTTTTACTAAATTGCTAAATTAGAAATAAAGAATACAGAATCTAACTTAACGAAATAAGTACAATTATAATAATTTTTTCTTACAAAAATTAACAAAAATTCATAGCGATAATCTTGTAAGAAGAAGCTTGTGTAATATCTTAGAACATGTATCCGAACATTCAATAAATTTATCCGTTATCTGAAGCAGCTAATATTATTTTATAAAATGTGAATATACTAACATTCGTTTATAGCTAACCATCTTCCCGAAACGTACGATTAATAATATATTCTTACAGCGACTCTCTTGTTCCCTGTAAAATGTGCGGTCGTCGTTTCGCTTCGGACCGGGTGGCCCTTCACGAACAAATTTGCACGAAGACAACGCAAAAGAAAAGAAAACAATTCGATACGATGATGTATCGCGTTAAAGGCACGGACCTCGAACCATTTGTTAAAAAGGGACTCTGTAAAAAGCAGCCCGAGGTCAGTATTCCTTTTTCCTATTTTCAAATTACGCACGTCCCTCGTCCTCTTCCCGTCCTTCGCAACTTCCTTTCCAATGCAGAGTTCACCGAATTTTAATTATGTTTGTATTATACACGATTGTGCACTGCTCGAGAACTTTATTAGGATATGATATATAGAATTTAATTATGAGTTAAAAGATAACCAAGTGGTAACGAAGTGGTAATGAAGAGTCTACGTAAATCTTACAGAAAGAAAAGAATTAATGACGTATACATATGTATATTACTTATACAACATTCACAATATTTGAATAAAAATGGGTGTAATTTAGTTATAGTCATAGTTACAGTGCTTAGTAATTGAATGGATTAAAAATTTTGAATTGTATAATTTAAATTTTGAAAGGGCAATATTTTCTTTATTAGAAGTATGAAATGCGCATGCGCAAGTACCTGCAGTGCGCGCGCATCGTACATACAGCGCATGCGCATGGCACATATAGCACATGCGGTGAAAAATCCACTATACTTTGATAAGAATATATTTATTTATTTTTTCTCGATAAATGTTTTAACTTTAGGAATAAAAATTTAGAATTGAAGCTTAAACAATTACAACTGAACTTATAATAATCTTTTGACGCTTCAAACAATTTAACAGAACAATTATTTCATAAAATATGACGATTTTAAGATGTGAACGAAAAGATTTTCTTTTCAAACGCAATGTAGGCAATTTGAACATAGACTAGCTAACAAAAATACTTATGATAAATGTAGATACAAAATTCCTTTTTCTGTTTCTTGTAAAAATTTCATGTTTGAATGATATTGTTAAAAAAAATGATTCTCATATTGCAAACAAATGTACTCTTCACAGTAGACTAATATTAATGAAAGTGTACTGTATTTAAAAAATTGCCAAAAACATTCTTTTCAGTGGAAAAGAGGTTAGAATTCAATTTGAACCTTTGTGTGCAAAGTAAGCATTTACCGCGTCAATTAAAGGAAGTTTATGATTGCACGAATTGTCTTACGAATAGGAGGACGAGAGACGTCGATCGTTCTAAAGGGATGGAACGGTTGTCGCTTGAAATGTTTCAGAAATCAAAGAAACCGGAACCGAAATCGAATTGGCGGCGCAAACACGAGGACTTCATTAACGCCATACGATCGGCGAAGCAGGTGCAAGCCCATCTAGCTGCAGGAGGCAAACTCAGCGATTTACCACCGCCACCAGCCAGCGACACCAGTGATTACATTCAGTGTCCTCATTGCGGAAGAAAATTCAATCAATCCGCCGCTGAGCGTCACATTCCTAAATGCGAACACATGTTACACAATAAGCCGGTACACTCGCGAGCACCGAAACCTAAGCGTTAATCATCGTTGCCGAGAAATATTCTTTCTTTTTTTTTATGCGTCGATCGAAAACGATATAAAATCTAACGAGAAAGAAGCTTTCAAACGAATATTAAAACGGTGATTATTTCGAATGATCATAAAGATCTTCATCCGAGCGATTATACAGCTACTAATAATTTTGTAGAAAATCTGTTCATAATGTCTTGTTCGCGATCGATACATATTTTGAAGCAATTTTTGTACGTCATTTTTCATAGCTGCAAGGATAGTATAATGATTTACAACTGCAATTTGACCAAAGTTCTTGTATGTGCTTTTTAAACGAATGTATTTTCCGATTACCTTACAATAAACACGAATTTTGTCTATATATTGTATTATATGTATCCAGCGAAATGGACTTATGAAATTTTTATATACAGGCCTGAATTAACCAGTAAGCGAAATAGTGCTTGGGAAAGGCGGAGAGATTCCATGGAAGTTCCGTTGCTGAATTTTCCATGGACCATATCTCACAATGTACCAAAACGTCAAAATCAAAAAATCTTAAATTTCTTAAATTTCGAAAGTTCAAACTGTGAAATCCCCGATGTTCTAAAATTTTTAAATTCAGAAATTTTGTAATGTAAAAATATCCAAAATTCCCAAAACCCAAAATCTCAAAGTCCTAAAGTCGCAACCCAAAATTAAAAATATTCCGAAGTTTCGAAATTCCAAAATCGCAAAATCCCCAACTTTAAAAATTTCAAAATCCTAAAGTCCCAAAATTTCGAGATCTCTAAATTTCAAAATACCATTTTGAAAAATAAAATTTGTAAAAAATTTGGGGCTTCTAAAGGTTTTCACTCGCCCCTGAAAAATTTCCAAAAATTGTTATGTAATTTTTTCATCCTTTTTTTATGACTATCGATGGCGGATTTGATTAAATTGAAATATATAAAAAAAGAGTTAGAGAATGTTCCATTGTAAAAAGCTTCAATACTTTGGAATTGCTTTATACGTATTTATACACTTTTTATACTGTAATATTAATGAAAGAGTGTACTACTCGTAATTTTATAATCGACTGTATCAAACAATGCAAGTTCACATGATGAATGAAAATCACATAAAATTCAAAGATTAATGGTATACAAAAATTCAGACCGAATAATACTATAAATATTGTGATTTATTATTATGTAAGTTTCCATTGAATAGATTGCCTTAGAAAGACGAACATTTTTATAGCGCTTAGTTTTCTTAATAAATGAAAATACTGTAATGTTATTATTCTGATTGAATAAGCTAATAAACTAACTTTTTAGTAAAAACGTAAATAAAAATAATAATAAATGTACTTCCTCGAAAACCGCATTAAATACTGTGTCTTAAATTTATTTTTCAAACTAAATACCTGAACATTGTTTGTAGATTTAATTTTGATTTTAGTAATTTAATTTTAGTAATTAATTACTAATTACACTATACAGCACATATTTCGCAATAAACAATAAGCCATTCTTATAAATTGTATTATACACTTATAAATGGTTTTTTATTTTTAGAAAAATTTAACTTAAATGATGAAAATCAACTCTTGAAATTTTGAAACTGAGAAATTTATGAATTTTCAAATTTATTATTTCACACAAATTGTTTAATAGTTTGAAATGTTAAAAGCTCTAATTTCTCAAATTTATATACTCTTAAACGCTGCACGAATAAATATCTTTTATTATCGGTTCCAAAAATTTTCCGCTCCTACAATCTCACCTGTAACAGTATAACAAGAGACAATTGTAGTTAAAAATGATCTTAAATTGAGCGAGACACGCGTCAATATTATTCAGATATATTTTATTTTGAAAATGAAAGATTTGGGACAATAAAATAATGTCACGTAACATGAACTACCTTATTTCTGGAAAGCTTATTTTGAATTACTTCCCACTATGATAAGAAGTCATAGTAAATTATTAGTAAATTCTAGGAATTATCGAATCCGTAATATTGGTAACAAGAAAGTGCATGCGTAAATTGGTTACGTGCCAAGATAGCAGACGACGTGGTATTCCCGGTGTAAGGAAAGATCATTTAAAAAGTTGTGTATTGTCATGATTAAATTGCAAAGTTTTACGATGCTCTTACGCTTATTTCATATCTAGAAGAAATTATGGATCATTTAATTATCTTGGTGGCTATGGTACATTTATTGTACTGTCCATTCACAAAAGTGGAAGAAAGTTTCAATCTGCAAGCAATGCACGATATCTTGTACCATGGTTTTAACCTGTCCGAGGTAATTATCGCAGCATTTACCAAAAGTTGTATAAACACAAACATTTAAACACCAAATGAACATAGACAGGTTGTAGAAACATATTTATCTTCCTTGACAGGTTGCTGACACACAATCGAAGAGATATTACGCAAAATCTTAGATATTATATTTAGAAACAGATGCATGTATTTATAAGCTCACGATCAGCTGATATAACTTAAGCTTGAAAGTTTGTTAACATGTTAATTTCAAATGTTTCTTTTATTTATTTCACTTATGAGTCAAACCTTTACACTATGTAAATTACAAGTTTTTGTTGAATTATTTTTTGTTATCTAGAACGACATTTTAATACAAAAATTTACTCTGACAGCTTAAGATAAATGTATGCCCATTCAAAACAAATTGAAAATTAAAAGTAATCGTTTGCAATATATTTTTGTTCTGTGATAGTATGATCACCATGAATTTCCTGGAGTTGTGCCACGATCATTCGTGGGACCAATTATAATATCAGGCTTGGCATCACCGCTAATAGCAACCATTAATTATTTGCAACTTAACAAATTCTTTGCTCAGTATGTTGGTAAGTTGATTAATAAATTGCATTGGAACTATTTCATGGTTGTGTTTCATTTGTTATTAATCGTAAATGTAAATGGCAGAATCATATTGTAAAAATAATTAAGATTATTGTTTTCAGTAAGAGCAACACTGGGTTTAGTAGTAATAGGTATGTTAAAATTATATAGAGATGCTTTACAAAGTGTCTTCGGATTACAGTTTACAAAATGGTTTGTTGCAATAACTGTGACACAGTATCATTTTATGTATTACTTAAGTCGTCCTTTGCCAAATATAATGGCTATGCCATTAGGTAATTGTAATTTTGATATTGCTACATATATTTGTATATATAACAACCTTATAATTGTATATTATTTACATATTTTAGTATTACTTGCTTTATATGGGTGGTTGAGACAAAGTCACATCATATTTATTTGGTCATCTGCAGCAGCAATAATAATATTCAGAGCAGAACTTGCTATGCTACTGGGCTTATTCCTTTTGTACGATATAACCAACATGAAACTGACTATATCAAGGTATTTACATATTATATTGTGGACCATTGATTCCTAGTATGGCTGTAACATTACATACAGAAGTGATTAGAGTCATCAAGGGACCTTCTGCAAAACTGCACTGATTTGTAAGCTTTGTTTGCTTATCAAACTTATTAACATAATGAATCCCTTCTGTCAAAAATAACTAAATCAAGCATAGATCCTTTACTTGATAAACTGCAATAAGATTTGTGCTCTTATTAAGACTAAAGAGGAAAACAATTAATTATTTTGTAATGTAGGATGTTATTATTTCTTAAAATGTGATAAATGTTTTGTCAAATTAATCTAGTATATAATAAATTCATAAAAATAATCATTTTTAGATTACTTAAAATTGCAGTGCCAGCTGGTCTATTTTTTCTAACATTAACAGTTATGATAGATTCTATATTTTGGAGACGATTAGTATGGCCTGAAGGAGAGGTGTTTTATTTTAATACAGTGCTTAATAAAAGTAGTGAATGGGGTGTATCCTTTGTTAATGATATTATTTTTAAATTCATATGATTGCACAAACTTTAAATATGTGTACTAATCTTAACACAAAAACAGACGTCGCCATTTCTATGGTACTTCTATTCAGCACTTCCACGTGGACTGGTTTTGTCATATTTTTTAGTACCTTTGGGTATGTTATGGGATGCTCGTGTTCGAGCATTAACAGTTCCTGGTATTGCATTTGTTCTTTTATTCTCATTTCTACCACATAAGGAATTGAGGTTTATCATATATGTTTTCCCGTTATTAAATGTTAGTGCTGCCGTTGTTTGCCATAGAATGTAAGTACTATTACCAGGTAGTTCAAATCGTTATTCATTCTTACAAATTTTAAATTATAATCATGCGTTTTTTCTTTTCCTTCACATTAGATGGGAAAACAGAGGAAAAGGTCCATGGCATGGATTTTTGGCACTAATCATTATAGGTCATCTAGTTTTAAATGCTCTATTTTCTATGTTTCTTTTATGTGTTGCTGGTTCTAATTATCCGGGTGGTTTGGCTATTGCCAAATTACATAGACTTGAAAAAGACTCTATTAATCCAGTACACGTGCACATTGATGTCCTAACAGCACAAACAGGAGTTTCCAGATTCACACAAACAAATAGTTCTTGGATGTAAGTGATTTAAATAAGTTTGTTAGATAGGAAATGTAGTAATGAGTCAGAAATCACCATATTTTTTCAATCGCACACAATCTAATTTATTATCAACTATCTTCCAGTTATTCAAAACAAGAACATTTAACCACTGACAGTCCTGAAATGCTTCAATTCACACATCTTTTAATGGAAGCCAAAAGTAAATACTCGCCAAATATAAAACCGTATCTTAAAACTCATGATATTTTAGATTCTGTAGATGGATTTTCTCACATAGCATTAAACTATAACATGTTACCACCTATACGAATAAAAACTAGACCAATAATATTTATTATGAAAAGAAAGCCTAATATAAAGTATGACCCTAAAAAAGCAAAAGCACAAGTTGATTTAAAATGGCAAGCTTCAAGTAATTTTCAGGAAAGCACAGAAAGTACCTATGTAATAAATGATACTGTTAAAGATATGGAGCCAATATTAGATGAGATTATGGAATCATTGGAACAATTTGAAAAACCATTGAACGTTATTGATTCAAACGTAGTAGATACAGAAAAGCCAGAAGTAATAAAATCTGATAGTATAGAAACTGATGTCAAAGAGGATACCGAAGTTTTTAATGTAGAACAAATATCTACTAACTTATCTGAAAGTACATCTTTAGAAACATCAATTGAAACAGAAACACAAAATATATCTGAGATAGAGGATGATATTACTAACAATAATAATAAGTTACAACATGATACGGAAAATATTTCTAATGTTAATGAAATAAAATTAGATGTGCAGGAAGGTGAAGAAAATGAGAAAATAGAAGTTCGAAAGGAACAATTAAAACTCAGTAGCACTCCAGAAGGTAGCACTATAAAAAAGGTGGTGAAGAAAATTATTCAAGAAAAACTTGAAGCAGCTAAACTTAAAAAAGATATGATAGATGAGAGAGCTGAAATTCAACCAACAATTAGTGCCAAATTAAAAAGAGCGGTTCCAATAAAAAAGGAGTTACCACAAAAAATTATGATTATATCAAAACCAGAACTAAGTGAAAAATCTGCTATTATACAAGAACTAAAAGAAAAATCTGCAGTAATTCAAGAATTAAAAGAAAAACCTATAATAATTCAAGATGTAAGAGATAAGCCTATAATTATTCAGAATATAAAAGAAAAAATCATCATAAATCAACAAACAGCTAATGAACGTAAAAGTATCAATGTTAAGGAAAGCATTAGAAATATAATAAATCAATTTAAAGAATTTGAAAAAGACTTTGTACATGAAGATGTAGAAACAACTAAAAAAGAATCAGATGTTGAAGATAACGAGCAATCTCTGGAAGTAAATGAAAAACTGACAGGAGATTCATTAAACGTCGATATTACCGCGGAAACCAAAGAGCCAAAAATAATCAAAGATGCCAAAGAAAGTCTGAAAGATATAATAAATCAGTTTAAACAAATAAAAAGTGAATTAACTTCTGAAGAAGATGACCAATTTGATAAGATTGAAGCGACATACATGGAACGCCCAATCGCCGAGACATTAATGCAATTTAGTGAAGCATTAAAAAATTTAATACAGAGAAGAAAAAAGAGTACGATACATGTTAGGAGCAATATTGATAGTAATAGTGACATATCTAAATTACAAAGTCAGCCCAAAATAAGTGCAGGAAATGCTCAATTTTTAAAAATGCAAAATTATAATAAAGATGAAAAACTAGGGAGAATCGTTCAAAATATTAATGCGAAAGATAGCTCGAATTCAAACAAAGCGTTTCAAGAAAAATATTTATCAACGTCTGCGCCTACTAAAAACGTCCTGTTGAATGCTCAAAATTCTATCGATACTGTTTCAAATAATGTACTAAAACATGCTTCCAATGTACAAGATGAGACGACACAAAAGAATGTTGGAAATAGCTCAAACGATTAAATTTTAGAAATAATTCGCGGTTTTCTGCTTTTTTAATCAAAAACAGTTATCTAATTATAGTAACATGTAAATACGTTGTTCTGTGATAACGAAAGTGTTGTTCGTCTTAATCCATGCTCGTGCATTACCAACACGGAAAAATCAAAATTTATTTTTCCTATATTGTTGCTTGAAATATCAAAACAGAAAAGAGGATTTGTTTAATACGTAGTATTACAAACGTACCACAAATGTAACTTTGTATGTATCCGTGTAAGAAAGATATAACTCAAACATTGGATTGTACAACAATTGTTTCGCTTATTATAAAATTGTCTTAATAATTTTTATATATTTAGATGTTGAAATATTTATTAATATATTATTTGATATAAGAGTATTATCCGTGCATGTTTAAGGAAGATGATAATTTTACTATTCTTCTTTGGATATTACAAAATTGATAAGCTACTATTTAATAGTGGTCTTATTATTTCCCTTTTATGTCCTTGCATTTAGATTTTGCTTTATTGTTTTCTGCTTTTTATTCATTGCTGGAATCGAACTATAGTGATACACTTTGTGTTGTTTAGGTGTTAAACGTCATTTATATTTTCATTAGAAAAAGAGAAAAAGTAAGAAATATAATTTCTTATAAATAGAAGGTACATTCATTTCCATATTGGTACTTGCAGAGCATTTAAGTGCCTTTAAATCTCTTCCAAATTCAATTTATTGTAAAACATATTTTTGGAAAGATATGTTTGTGTAACATACTATGTATAAATATTTTACAATAAGTAAAGATATTTAATATCAAAAATCGTACATTAATTCCCATATTACTAACAAAGAATTAGTAATTAAAAATATTAATTATAATCAATATAATCAATACAGAATTATAATCTCAAACTTTATTAAAAAATTTAATCTCTTAATCTTAACACAGTTTTTTTATTTGGTGGATATATCAGAATTGCTCTAATAATTCACAAAATTTTTTGAAGCTCATAACTGTACTAAATATAGTTACAGACCAACTGAAATAATATACTATTTTGTCACGAACCCCGCATTTTAAATATACAGGATGATCACTTTCACACTGTGAAAACAAATGCAAAAAGTTATGGATAAGTTACAAGAAAAAAAATACATTTAATTTTTACATATATATATCATATTACTTTATGTTACACATAAAATTCATGTATACCTGCATCTTTGCTTGTTTCAGTTTAAACTTTTGATATGCTTTTTCCGAAATTAAATTTGGATTTCCCGTACGAATCGATCGGCGGGATAGACATTGATAAAAAAATCTTGATCGCGAAACCTATATATTAATTGTAATAATTACTTTCTATTTTCACTAAATGTCATATACAAAATAAGTTATAAAATATAATTATATTGAAAGATGTTCACTCACAGATAACATTTTAAAACACGCACTGCTAGATCGACGTAACATCGGCTTTATGCGAAAACAAAAAATTGAAAATCATACTGTTATTACTTCGTTTAAATTACCGGAACCGGAAGAGCGTACGATTTTCTTTTGCAATTCTAAAGTTGGCTAACATGATAACGATGTTCACGCGCTATTCGTTCAACGGGAGATCATACTCGTCATGAGACAAATTTTGTCCATTCTGCGCATGTTAACTCTGATTGGTTCGCGCATCCTTCGTAACCGGGGGCAACGCGCGTGCGTCTTTACGACTCTACTGACGCTGGGTCGCTTATATTCAGTGAGCAAAAAGTTTCAAAATTTGATCTTCAATTTGCAATAAGTAATCAAATGTTAATTTCATATTCAGATTTAGTTTGAAAGTAATGGAATGACAATTCATGGTCTCAATAAAAACTATTGAATATTATTACAAGTTTGAGTACATATATAATATAACTAGGACTTAATATTTTACCTGAAAATTATCGACATAATTGTTCTTCTTATCACAAATAATAAAATTATTATTATTTATATTTATTATGTAATAAACTACTTATTACTAATTAGAAAGAATTTATGACTATAACTTTATCTACATTACTCTTGGTAAGAAAATTGAGTAGAGCGGATATTCCATATTGGCCTATCGGGTATTCCCCGTAACACTAAATAATAAGTTCTGCCGTGAACCAGTTTATAGGTATATAAAATATACAAGAAATGTTTGTCTCACCTTGTATATAAACAACGAAATGGAAAACGTAAAGTGGGGTAAAATTTCTGCTGGTGGGAAAGCTATTGAAGTTAGCCGCATTGCGCGAAATGATTATGATCTCCCATTGCAGAAATCGAACGACTAGGTAGTGGGTTAAACGCGCATGCGCATTTGCTTCTCGACGCAACAGTCGTAAACATTTTTTCCATTCAGATTCCTCACGAGTTTACGATTGTACGTTAAATAGAGCGTCCTGGCGGACGCACAACAATTTTTCCGCGTTTTCGTACGATTTCGCGGAAAAAAATGGGTCCGATCCCACACGCTCAGTGTACGTGATACGTAAACTTATGAGTTTCTGGCATGCGGTGACGTCATCCGGATCGTTCTGGAAGAACCCTGCAGGACAATAATGGCGGGTATGTATTCGCATCGATTGGAAGTCAGACGACCTCCCGTTCAGGAACCTAATGTATTACGATTCTTCGCTTTCAGATTTGTATGCAAAATACAACTGCACCTATTGTCAAGAGGACATCTCGGGTTTACGTGTAAGATGCGTAGAATGCCCGGATTTCGACCTCTGTTTGCAGGTGAGACGGGGAACGCCTATTCCTCGGTCACGTGTTCGTATCTCTTTACCCTCTCCTCCCCCTCCGGTCCGATCTCCATCACGTCTTCGTCTATCCTTGCGGCATTGCTGGATTTTGCGTGTTGAGATTCCTTTTTTAGTCCCCACCCTTTTTTTGTTGACAAGTTTAACTCTGGTAACTGCTTAGCGATTGAATGAAACTGCTGATCGGGTGACACGTGCGCGGCAACTTCGATTTCATTGATTTTTAAACGAGAAAATCATTTTGTAACAAGCATCACAATTGTTTGTACATTTAACAGTGTTTTTCCGCCGGAGCCGAGATTGGTCCACACAAAAATGATCACTCTTATCAGTTCATGGTGAGTGTTGGTTAATTTTTTTTTCATAAAATTGGTTGTTTAGTGCAAAACGTACTTAACGTTTTTGTTTTCAGGATTCTGGTACCATTAGTATATTTAATGGTAGAGGAAATTGGACTGCTAGAGAACAGCTTAGACTTTTGGATGCCATTGAACAATTTGGATTTGGAAATTGGGAAGATATCAGTAAACATATCGAAACACGTACTCCAGAAGGTAACATTATGAAATAATTAATTTCATGAATAAATGTGTCAGTGATCATGAAAATGTTTTATATTATCTATTTTGCATTTTATAATTTAAATTGTTACATCTAAGTATATTAAAAAATATCTTATATTGATGTAGATCACTTTCATAATCGCTACTACAAATGTTTAAAAGGCGAAAAAATATAAAAGTGGAGAATTTTGAATACATCTGTTTTTTTAACGATATGTGATTGATTTTACAGAAGCAAAAGAGGAATATATTGCTAGATACCTTGATGGCAATATTGGCAAACATACATGGCCACCGACAGAAAGCTACAAACCAAATCTCACTGATCAAACTAAGTCAGATCATGGCCCACTGTCACCTGATCTCACATCTCGGTTACCACCTTTGGACATTACTCCAGAAGAAGCTGCACAATTGGGGTACATGCCACAACGAGATGATTTTGAGAGAGTATGTGGGAAATATTCAATACTTTTTATTATTAGACTGAAGATTTATATATATACTGAATGGAGCATATAAATCATGTAATGTAGAAGTTGTAGACCTCTATAACATCTAGTAATTAAAAAATATTTTTTATAGGATTACAACCATGAAGCAGAGTCACTTGTTTCTTCATTATTTCTGAATCCAGCAGAGGACGATGATTTAGACATAGCACTTAAACTTGCCCAAGTTGATATGTACACCAATAACTTGAGAGAAAGAGCGCGACGAAAGCGAGTGGTACGTGATTATCAGCTGGTATCTGCATTCTTTTCTTCATCCCGAAAGGATAAAGCATTGAAAAAGAAGCAAACAAAAGAAGAAAAGTACGTTTGTTATTGATATGAAAGGTAATTTTTTGTTTTATTATTTCAATTAAAATGTATCCATTGTTTACAGAGAATTTAGAGACAGGATGCGTGCATTTGCGCAATTTTATACGGCACAGGAGTATGAGCAGTTTCTGTCAAATCTTGAAAGAGAGAGGGAACTGCGGTTACGTCTTTCAGAATTATATCGTTATCGGGAACATGGCATCACAAGGCACGAAGAATGTGCTCATTTTGAGCAAGTGATAGCACAAACTCAGGGACAAAACGATGCTGCAGATCACTGGAATGAAAAGAAATCTGTAAGTAGTCGTATCCACGCATTTACTAATTTTTCCCACACTGCAATGGTATTTGTAATCCTCTCGAACGATATACCCTGTTTTATGTAATAGGTATATCTGTTCGAATATGAAAACATATTTTGCAAGTATACATTCGTAAAAGCTAGTAGAGCTCCCGGACGACTGTAGGTGTTATTAAAAGCTTTATTTTTCTAATTAATATGGTTGTATTTATAAATATACAGTGAAATCTCGATCGAACATTCCTAAAATAATCGTTTTCCCATATCACTTATTTGATTCAGTTTAAGTACCTCCAAAAATAGTAGATAGAGGATTCACTGTACTTTATATGTATACAGTAATACAAATTACAATTAATTTTGTTACTTCAGTGTAGATAGTGATTTCTAACTTGCCTAAATCGTCTTGTGTTTTCGTGTGTAGAGTATTTTATAGCAAAACTTACACACAGAATAAGAATTTTTAATTATTACTTTTTACCATTGAGCGAGTTTATATCGATAAAATTAGGCATGATACGAATATAAAACACCACAGGCTTTAACATACCGTACACACTAGCTTTTGCTTCTCCTTTAACTAATTCCATTGTTTGTGGTGCGTGTTGCCAGGCATTTGTGAACAGATTGTATCAGTTTGCATTTCACTTAGGGCAGCAGTGGGCCGTCCACACCAATACACCGCCACATCTCAAAAAAAAGGTACTAAAATCATCTTTAAATTTGTTTATATGAACACGTCTTATTTGCGGAAATAAAACGTTCTGTTATTAGTTACACTGGACTAAATGCTTTCCTCGGAAGGTCAACATTTTATCCATATTTTGCAGAGAAGAAGAAAAAAATTACTCTTCCATCGACCGAAAGTACACGTCAAAAGAATTACCCAGCAGCAGCTCCTCAATCAATCAAGTCAATCTCAATCGGATGACGACTCCAGCCAATCAGTGGGCGGAGCTGGATAACAATCCAAATTCTTCCAGCCAATATACTACAAGCTCGAGTTCTATTGCAGAAAAGAATTATACTGCAACAACTTCTGGAAAATCTTGTTCAACAATAGGAAATTCGGAAGAACGAGATATAGAAATGGAAGCTGCAGCTCATTTATTAACAAAACAGGAAAAATCCTTATGTCTTCAGCTTGATTTAAAGCCAACGCAGTATTTGACGCAAAAAACGTTGTTGTTGCAAGTAAGTTTCTACGCAAATACGATGTATTATCCCTTAGTCAAAAACAGTTGTGCCCTTAAGATAACAAAGAATAAAACTATATTATGTTATCGAATTTATTGCTACCCATCGATAAGAAACGAAATATATAATTTTTGGGGCACTCCTTTAAAAAATAAGAGGTTGGTAATACACCTAACCTAACATCAGAAATTGAAGGATTATGGGAAATTTATGTTTCAGATTATGATTAAATACAAAGTGCTTTGCAATTGTAAGATTGTAATTATTGGAGTTTGTTTTTAAGACAGTTACATTAAAAAAAAGTTACACTCCTTTAATGTTTTATGTTAGGTTAGAAATGCTGCTAATCTCATATTTTTAAAGAAACTTCTCTAAATTTGTACATTATCAAAAAATTAATTCTAAGAAACGTCAATCAATTGACTAATGTTAAAATTGTTGTTTATATTTAAGAATTCTCTGATTTCAGGAGTATCTGAACGGTAATAGAAGATCGGGCGTTGTACCTCAATCGGAACCAGAAAGTAAGATACTACACTATCTGGTAGCAAATGGCTGGATTGCAGCCAATTGATTGAACATTTAAAAATTATCGACCATTTCAATTCTAAGTCACTGTCTATTTCGCAAACTAAGTCCTAGATATAATTGAAATTTGAGTCTGATTTAATTAAACATATAGGGCAGGTAGGGAGAGAATGTGTGTGTGTATAATTTAACAAGTACCGATATTGATTCTTTACTTCTATAGAATTCGATGAAACTTAAATAGCGAAAAAGAAAGTAATCGTGTTGGCGAATCAATTGTTACAAATGCCGAAAAAGTTGATTTTTTATTTTGTTTGTTAATTTACTCGAGACCAATTTCGTTATAACACGTAATGAAACAGAAATAACCGTCTGCAAAAACGATTATTAGAATTTTGTTATGAAATTTCTTTTTGTTTTGTTATTGTAAAGTTTAGAATTGAGCGTTGCATGTTACAACTCACTCGTCAACTATCGATATTCTTAACAACTGTTTAAACATTCAGATATTAAACCATCACCGCTGTAATTCACGAAACGATTTCGTGTGCTGAACTGTATTTGATTTTAACGAATGTTAATTTAGATTCTCCGTTTAACTTTTAGCGTACAGATAGAAATTATTTCAGGAATATCTCTTACACTGCCTTTATAGAGCCATTGAACGTATTGCTCAATTAATTCTTCCACTATGATGTTTTTCTTGTACAAACTATTAGTTGCACATACTCCTTTCTATCTGTTTCGAATGTGATTTGTTACCATACTTGACAATAAGGAAACGCAAAGGAAGTCGCGTTATAGCCGGGATTTCTAGATCGTTATTTAATGCAACATTTAAACGATTGAAACCTATCCATTCGGAAACTTCACTAATCGTTGCATTGTATGTAACGGTGTTTGAAAGTTACCGATTGAATGTGTTGAAGCAGTGATGAGTGTCTCAAGTACCTGCCGAAAGACCTCATGGGCATTGACGTGCATGGCGCATGCAATGATGAAGTGTTGAAATTTCAAATTTTCAGTTATAGAAATTTAGAAATTTGCAGATATAGAATTTGAGTATTTAGAAATTTGTAAATTTGCAGATATAGAATTTGAGTATTTAGAAATTTGTAAATTTGCAAATTCAGGAATTCGGTAATTTGAAAATTTGTGATTGTTCGCCACGTGCATGTCTTTGCATCGCATCCTCGCGGGTACAGTTGCTCATCACTGTGTTAAAATATATTAAATAAAGAACCCTTTTAAATATTTATATAGCTGATTGTGAGATTCATGAAAGTATTGAATATTTAATAGATATAATGTCCTTACAAAACACATATACACATACACAAAAATACCTGCTTTTAAACGTATAGATATTCCTCCATACTCGAAATTTTTCTATTAAAAATAGTCCTAACAAGCATGCATAATTTTCGCGCAAACCAATGCATTTTATTGTACGAATTATCGGGTTTCTTTGAACCATTCAAAGAATTCCTTATTGACGAAGGATGGTACAAAGAACAGGTCACAAGGACATTTGTTATTACCGTGAAGTAATATGATACTAGGTAATTTATCTCTGTTGCCTGTGTAATATTTGTACATACAATGAAAAAAAGAAGAAAAAGATAGTACCTTTCTAGTGATACTACGTTTAAAGCACAAAATGATGGTGTAATCTAGGAAAGGGGCGTTAAACGTATAGTGTGATAATGGTGGTGTTCTAAGCCAAAACTCGTATTGCAAAAGAAAAGACACTTTAACGTTTTAGGAAGATAATTATTTTCCATTGCTTATAGTCGATAAACTTCGGACTAAACGGAAAAAGAGACAGCGCATTTCGCGTCGAGAGTGTGTGCATTTGAGAGAAGAAAAAGAATGGATGCTTCGACGATTTCGTGCGAAACACGTTTTAACAGCTTTTACTTATCTTAAACCTGTACAGTAAAAAGTAATCAAGTGTGATCACTTGATCGAGAGTTTTTATATACGTCTCTTACGCTTAAAAAACTTAAACATGAGGCGAAAAAGAAAAATTTTCACGTCGTTTGCTTTAGAATAATTCAGTACTTCCCAGAACTGTCACGCTTACCGAAGACTTGAACTCTTTTCTTTTTAAGTTCAAGCAAAAGAGATATAAAATACAGTTTATCGTTCAACTTGTATCATCGTATATATGTAAAGAAAAAATTATGAAAAAAATTATATATATATATATGTAAATATATAAAGAGGCACTACTCGAGACTACGAGTAGTTATAAAAAAAGTCGTGTATAGAGAAAAAGAAAAAGAAAAGAAGTCTAAAAGTATGTTTTATCGGAAACAATACTTATTATGGCGTATTGCTTAAAATAATAGCTAGATAACGAAATAGGGAAATAGCTGCTCATATTTTTTACGGAGAGTAGAAGACTATTGTCCCTTTTATTCGGTGTAACTCTATTTTTTGCCTAACCTCTTGCAAACTGCGCAGTCATTTTTAACTCTTTCATTGCTGTTAGCATTCAACTGATTTTGGTAATTAGAAGCTAAGTAGGTCATTAGCTGTAAGTAAAACTTCTGCTATATGCTTCCATTTGATTTTAGTACTGATTAGTTAACTCTTTGACTGCCACAATAGAAGTAGTCATATCTAGTATGACACGCAATGATAATTGTTAAAGATATTACGAAATCATTCTACAAATCTTTTTTATTATTTTGTTTCGCGTTTTTTAATTATTGTAAGTTGAATTTATAGCACCAGTTACTTGAGATCACCATGACAGTCAACGAGTTAATGTTTTTAGATCTTTATTGTCCTTCACGAATAGACTACCGCTCTTCTTTTGACAACAAATAATTTTTTTGTTATTTGCCAAAGAATCTTTGTTATTTAATAAAATGTGAGAAATTTCCAATTTTGTTGTCTCATCTTTTTAAATTTGTTGTGGATAGTTTGAAAAGAAAGTTTCACAGTTCTTGTTTTATGGTTTCGTTTCATGTCTTTTAGTTACATTATACTAAAATTGATTGCTAATTTTTTAAATAATGCTTGATGATTGCATGAATTTTAGAAAACAATTACGGATCAGATTTTTTGAAATCTAGTTAATCAAAAAATAAAATTTGTATTATAAATTTATAGTTGAAAAGCCTGGACCTTGTAATTAAATCTTGTTTAATTCTTTGATTTTTATTTTAAGTACTGAACTCACCAAATGTGGCTTATGGTAAATGAGTTAAAACTTGTCAAACAGCATGTATTTATAATATAATCTGAAAAATCTAAGCAAAATGTCTACAGTAATTTCTTTTCAAAATATCCACACCAATTATAATGAGAAATTCTCATATTTTATTAATGGAACCAATCAACACAAATTCATTAAATTATGAGTGTTATCGTTAAAATCGTATCGAAATTTGTTGCAAGCGGAGCGAATTAATTGAAAATTTTTACAAAGTTCAGTTTTATAACGTTTTTTGTTCGAAAGTTGATCGATGCGAAATCTTGTATTATTTTGAAGAGTAACTTTAATACGACGATTTTACATGTTTGTATTTTCTTTCGCCTTTACAATGTTTCGTTATCTTTTTAAGACGCCTCGTTTTCTTGTAGACTATTTAACAGAAAGAAAAATAAGAAACGTCTCGATTCTTTTATCGTTGCAACAACTTGCAAGGCGACTTGTCTCAAAGTCATTTGACTGTAATAATCGAATAAGAAGTGGTCCACTACGAATAGGCTGTTTCTCCTAAGACAAAGTTATCTTTCGAACGAAGAGGTCCGTACGCCTTCCTGTAGTTACTTAATGCTAGTAATTTATAATGTTACTGAGAGATTTCAGATGGAAATGAACTTCTAGAATGTACGAATACTGCGTGTTTAACTTTTATAAAGTTTCTGTGAATCTATACGCACCGATGCTTGTTTCTTTTTTTTTTTGTTTCAAGATAGTGAGAGATAATTTTAGTTTAAGAGAAAAGATCGTTGCAGATTGATGAATGGAAGTTGAATTTGAGAATCAACGCGATATTCGAAGAATTTGTATAACAAACAACGAGTTTGTTACTCCTCATTGTTCTATAAATAACGAAAGAATTAAATACGTCGAATGCAAAAAGCTTTCATTCTTGTACTTGAATCAAACAGTCGTTGAATGTATAAAATAAACTGTAAAATAGGTATTTTCCCTTAAAATAGTGCCTTTATTTGTTCAAGTGCTGTGTTGTTTCTCGACCGTTCCTTTAGTTAAACCTATCTCGTTTATTATATTTTGCATTAATCACTAAAAAATCTAAGTAGAATTAAAAAATTCTTTATAATTTATATTTTCTGCTAATGCTTTATAATTTAGATGTTTTGTGCCTGCGTTAAGAAGTAGAATTTGGTTCAAATATAGAGTAATTAAATTAAGAAAAAATGTGCAGACAAGTACAAATCCAGCAGACAATGATAAAGTCTACAACCTGCATTAATATTTATACGTTGGCATACATTGTGCCTTACTAAAGGCATGCAAAATCGGTAAATAATAACATTTTCGTAAATGCATGCTTGAAAACGAGCTGTTTTTCAAGAATTGTGAAAATTTCAGGAACTATATGAAGAGGTAAGTAAATATTTTTATAGAAAGAATGCTGAAGGCCATAGTTTATTGTAAATTAATTTATTTAATAAGAAAGTGTCGTGAAAGCTTTGTATTTATATGCACTTTTAAATTTCCGCGCTCTGTCTAAAAACAGTAGTGTTAGCGGTCCTGACGCATAATCCGCATGTTCGGACTCACGGAATATATTGCAAACAGCATAGAATCAATATTAATAAATATATAATAATATAATAACATAGTAATCAATAAAATTAACATTATTGAATTTTTACAAAAATGGAACAGGTGGCGTCATTTCTCCGTCGAACAGGTTGAACTACACATTTTTGAAACTGTAATTTAATTAGTTTTTGTCTTCTATCACTAAATGGCAGCACATAACACAGAAATATAGGAATTGTCTTCCTATATTTTAATAGTCGATTAATTAATAACTTTGCAAAATAACTAATTTTATTTGGAATTAATTCTGAATTTGATTTTAATACATATTCATGAATTAAGGTTTGAGTACAGAATGAATAGCGAACGATTTTGGTTTTAAAATAAAATTGAATACGATCAAACGACGATTGCTTTAAACAATCATTTCATCACATATATAAATAGAAGTCTCTTGATCGACGGCTTTGATAACAGAACTCTTCTTGACCGACAACT